CCTACAAATATTAATAAAATCTCAAAAAAAAAAAAAAATCTCTTCTGTTTTTCCCATTTGGTTATAACTTTCAGAATAAGTAGAAAATAATAATCTAAGCTTTTTCCCAGGACAACAAATTATAAAGAATGTTGTAAACTAGAGTTATGTTTGTATCAAATCCTTTTAAAGTGCAACTTTAATTGGTTTATTTCAAACACTGATTTCAACAGATAAGTAGCTCCCTTCTGACTTAATTTCACAGTCACTTGTTATACAGCAATACGAAAAATGATGTAGGAATTTTTTTCAGGCTCTTACAGTGGCTCAAACATGGAGAATACAATGTGATTCCCCAAGACACACCTAGAATGGCTATTGAAATAATGTGTAGCAGAAGCAAAATGGTGCTTTGTAAGAAGCATTTTGTTCCTTTCTGTTAGCATTCAATAAATTATTGTACTATAGCTTTAATGATGACAAAAGAAAAAAGTTGTTTTCAGACATCTAAGATGTCTTTTAGTTGCCTACAGACTAATAATTTCAAATTATGAAATTATCATAGCACAATTTTTTGTGAAGCTGATTAACTGGATTACAATCTAGTCCGTAAAATCCTTGTTTCACTAAGATGGCTAGTTCCCTGGAAAGAGTTTCCAAACAGATGAATCCTTGTGCTAAACCAAGACACTTTTAAGCTAATGTGTCTTTCACTCCCTAAGGATTTGTAAGAAAAAAAAAAAGAAATTATATATGTCTGCAGGGATGAAAACGTGTGGTTTTATCATGCAAATGTTGGGACACACATGCTATCATCAGCTGCCATGATACAAATGTGCAATCATAACATCTGTGTGAGAATATGCACATTTTATTTCAGCATCACTATGTTTATTAAATAAACAATGGGAAGACATTACAGGTTACAGACAAAAGTAAGTTTGAATGCTTCCAGCATAACAAAAATAAAAAGTAATTTCCCAAAAACTTTCTAAGTTCAATTACAGGTAATAAATTATAATATCAAAAGAGATTTTGTAAACTATCTTTAAGCTCAAACAACAAATCAGTAACTTAGATAATAGCTTTAGAAAATAATCTAATGTAATCTGTAATCTGTAATGTAAACTGTAATCTTTTACAGTAGATCATTACTACACCAAGAACTACCAACCTTTTGAGTAATTGTCAATCCAATTGACAATTTGAGTACTGAAAATCCCAACCACAGACACAAGAGCCAAGAAGACATTATAATCACAAATGTACTTACCTTCCAGGTGCCGCCTCTGATGATCCAACATCACATCCTTTCGGTAGAATAGCTTATTGCAAATCTCACAGGCAAATTTCTTGTCCCCATGTTTCTTTTTATGTTTTGAAAGATTACTGTTTGTAGAAAAGAATCTGAAACACATCTCACACTGAAATGTCTTATCATCTGAAAGAAAAGGAGGTTACGATTCTAAATGTGATCTGTATGATTTTAAAAATCACATAGGTACCTGTTCTGACCCTCCTTCTCCGTCCAGGAATGAAAGCCAAAAGCCACGTAACTAAAAAGGTTTCTTTTAATCAGTCCAAGCTCTTGTTGGCTGCAA